TTGGCTATTAATTGGAATCTCATAAGACTTCCAATATTTTATGAGTGATTCTAAACATAGTTTTACTTCATTTCTAGTAAAAACTATATGTGAGAACTGAACACTCAATTTTATTCACTTTTAATAATAACAATACACAATTTCAAAACGTATATGTTACAAAGACCTCCTCCTTTTGAGGATTTCGTCCCTGAAATCATAGTGATTAAAACAATTGGGGATACTTCACTCTTATTTCATTCTTATTTTTCCCAAGTATTATTTGAGCCTTGATGGTGTTTCCACTTGAGAAGCACCAACTTCACTTCTTTATTACGTAGATTAGTCGTTCTTTCATTTAGGATCTCTTCTACTTAACTTATTATCCAGTTTCACCTTGGATAAATGGAACCGTCTCATCATAGTTGCTCAAACATTTATGTAAATATCTCACATGAAACACATCATGTATACTTGACAAATCTTCAGGAAATCTCAAGCGATATGCTTGTTGACCAATTTTCTAATTAATTTTTGAAAAGTCCAACAAATCTAGGACTCAATTTCTTTTTCCTTCCTAAATTTCATAATGGCTTTCCATGGGGTTACCTTCAGTATCACCTACTTGGAATTCTATGAATCGTCTCCTCCATTTCTACACAGGACTTTTGTCAATCCTGGGCTTCTTTCATTATTTTTTGTACAATATGAATCTTATCAGTAGTATCTTGAATCATTTCAGGGCCATCAAGGATTTTTTGTCCTTCTTCACGCCAACATAGTGGAGTGCGGCATGTGCACTCATATAGTACTTCATATGGTAGTATTTTGATTGAAGTGTGGTAACTGTTATTATACAAAAATTTGACAAGAGAAAATACTTGTCCCATTTACCACTGAACTCCAAGACATATGCACGAAGCATATCTTCTACAATTTGGATTGTTCTTTCCATCTCACCATTTTTCTGGGGTTGATAAGTTGTACAAAGAGTAATTTGAGATTCCAATTCTTGTTGCATACTCGATCAAGAGTGTAGTGAGTAACTAATCTTTAGTGACACATCATGTCTTTCCACAATTTTGTCCAAGTATACTTGTGCATGTTTCTCCAGTGAAGCCGTTTCACGTATAGCGAGAAAATATGCACTCTAATTAGCCGGTCAACAATTTCCCAAATGCTATCATTCACAGTTTTCTTCTCCTCTTTCAAGGTATTAAATGTATAATCCGAATAAGTAGAATATATCTTCGATATAAATTTACGAGTTTTTAAGAAAGAAATTTATTATTTTTACTGTAGACATAAATAGAATCCTCCCTTTCGATAGGGATTCTCACCATCTCTTCGTAGCACAAGAGTTCTGCGTGGTTCTTTAATAATCGATCCATGTCGAGAATAATATCAATGTTGGGCAAGAAGATAGGAATCAGGTTAGCAAGTAGATTATAACCTTTAATTCCTATGACATAATCTCTATAGACTTTATCAGCAATTAATGATACCCTTCCTACGGTATTTACATGAAATAATTTAGACAAATAGCTAACAAGCAATTTGAAATGAGTACGTGAATTCTCAAGACACAAAAGAATTTGAGACAACATAATCAAATTTGATGTGAGCAGGCTGAGGGTTGACAAGAAATGTACCAGTCATAACATCCAGCTCTTAATGTATCTCTTTTGTGGTAATATAAAATGTACTATTTTTAACTTTTGATTTATCAAATTATTATTTAAACTTTTCAAACTTCTTCATTAATAGCAATGCTCAAACTTATACCCGCTCTTTATTCTCTATTGAATCTTTAATTCTAATCTTTGAGTTAAAACTCAATTCTCATTGCAGACTCCTGCTCTTTCTTGGTTTATAGACTAAACCCAAGATAAGGTCTTTACTTTTGCTATAAGAACAACTCGAATGGTCATATTCTAGTGACATTTGATTTTATATCGCGCAAGACACATAACGAACCAAACTCTTATACTAGAATCATATTGAATAAATCGAGTTGATGGAATAAAGCAAACAAAAAGAGTTTGATCAACATGTGGATGCTTCGGAACAGAAAGAATAGCACCACATATATCTAATTCATGCTTTCAGACATACACATCTTTTAGCTTTTGGCACCTCCTCCTTTTTAGTTGGAGTACTCTTTGATTGTCGTACGGAAACTTGACTCCTCGCCATTTGACAAGTAAGAGTAGGGCAGAAACATTTCTTGTGGCCAGTAATACCACATAGCAAGTCACATCTCTGGCTAATGATTACTCAATTCTTTAATGAAGATCGTTATATTTCTATCGACCATCTCGACCGTCTCCTTCTTGACTGAAGTTTCGTCATTACTCAATACATGGCTTTCTAAACCAATCTACTTTATCTTTATAGATTTATATTAATCGGACTTCATTCTTTATGACATTAAGATTTGAACGATGATTATATTCTTAGTCATTACCAAAACGAAGGTAACGACACTCATGAATAAAACAGAATCCTTTATTAGCTTCTTGGTAACCTTGTGAGCTTCTCTAATCCAAGCGTGAGTCCTGTGCTTCTGGTAGTATAGGCCTCTACTACCATTCACACCTACTCATACTCGTCCCAAGTATTGTCTCGCGGTTTTCCAAGTCACCATTCAAAATCACAAAACAACTTATCACACATGAATGTGTTCAAACAAATACATACAACAATTTCTCCTAGACTCAACTAGGGCTTTCGTGTTTTTATCAAACATATCTTGGATTATTTATACTCGTCTTCTAAGTTTCTTCTCACGCATATGCTTGATCTAGAATATTTTAATACTCTTTCATAGGTCGATAGAATTTTACTTCCAATTCTTCATATAAATTCTTTCTCGAGTAGTGTCTACTCTACAAGACACACTATTCAAAAATTTACTCTAGCAGCAAGGAGACAAATGATCTTCTACTACCTGCATCATCTTCTAACTCATGCAAACCGTCATGCACATTTGTTGGTTTCATTATCCTTCCATGATATTGTTATTCTTGTATCTGAGTAAGTATAAGTCTACTTCATAGGAGTCTATCCTAAGAAGTCTACATTATAGTTGTATCTCAACAAGCTCTACTAGCTTCAACTTGGTTCTCTGTCATTCCTGAGTACAACATATCTTCTCAAACAATATTATGAGTGTCTTGCTTCTTCAACTAAGCATTCTACCTTACTTAAACAAGTAAGTTTCTTAACCTTTTACCACTAAATGACTCAATTAACCATCCCGATCTTGTATGTTACAGTTGGCTTAACACATAATGGAACTTCTATAAGGATGGGATAGAAGTCAATCATCACTTAGTATTATTAAATACTAAGTCTGGACATCTTTTATAGGGTTACTACTCGAACTACATACTACATCACAAAGTCTTGGCCTATTGAGTCTGAAAACTTCATTAGCCTTTCTTTTGATCTTCATTTAATTTTTCTAAATCTTGCACAACATTAATTGTGATACTGCCGAAGTACTGATCACCATCTTCGGTTCTTTCGACTCTATTAAACAATCACTTCTTCAATTTGTACAACGGTGGAACAACTTCGTGGATTTGCACCAACACATTTATCTTGCCCAAACGTGTTTCAAATGCACATCTTTCTTCCAAAGATGTTATTATATATCAAACATACTTTAAATGTATATTACCACTCTATTGGTATTAATACACTTATTACGATAACAATTCATATTTATTATTTTACGATATCTCGCGATCGTTTATTTATAAACTTATCGATGTCAACTATCATACGTCTCTTTATCACTTCGAAAAATTCTATTACGAAAATTATTAAAATTCTGAACATAAAATTTTCTAAACCAAGGTCGGCAACAGACCTTAAACTTTCTCAAATAATAGCAATTATAGATAAGCACCCTAAGGCATGCTATATTCATTTATCATTTAGCAGATATTAGAATATAAGGCATATCTCTTAATATTCTAGTGCTTGACTCCATTAGGTATTCAACCTAAAATATACCAGATACATATCGTATCATCTTCACTTAACAATTCTTGTTTAAGCTTAGAAATTCTCAAAATTTCTAGTTCACTTAAACTAATTTTCTGAAAATTCTGAAGTAACTTAATATCTTAGAATACTAGGGTTTATCACTACCCAATACCCCAGTTAAATATTTCCTACGGTTTGTATCAATATATTTACTATTAATCCGTTCATATATTGAACTTCCAATAGTTTAAATCTAAATACCAATCCGTGGTATTTAGTTCACTTAAACCACTGCTCTGATACCATGATTGAAAGACCCCAACTTTCGTATTTCTGAAAGACCCAAAATTTCATACTATACTACTAGAAAAATAACCTTTTACAATGCACATTTAATGACACACACTGATAGAGGACGCGGATTTGAGCGTGCCCTAAAAATTAATGTTAGTTTTCCAAAATTTGAAGGATAGAGGACACGCATTTTTGCGTACCCTAAAATTAGTGTTAGAAAAGAAGAAAAAAAGAAATACGGAGGGCACCTATCAAAAGATGTGTGTCGTGTAACTGTGTCGCTTTATATATATATTTTTTGGAAACACGCATTTTTAGTGGGAAAATGAAATCCAAAAAATTAACCCCCGCCTATTCATCCCAAAAATTCCCTGCTTCTTCGAATTAGGTCCTTCGTCTTCATCCACAGCTTCCTCAATTCCTCGATCCATCACCTCCACCAAAAACCTAATTCTCGGTTCCAACAAGTTCTTACACTCTTAATTCAACCCTAATGAGCTGAGGATTTAGGGTTCTTACCTCCCAATTATCAATTTGAGCCGATGATTTAAGGTTCCTAAATCTGACCCTAATTTTTTCTATCTCACTCTCGTAATTCCATATCATCCCTCTCGCCTGGTTCAAAACACGTAAGGGGCGACGAACACACTATTTATTTGGGTATTTTAGTCTTCACGAAGATCTCGTTTCCATGTAAGCTTTATGTTCCGAGCCCAAACCATCCTCACGCGATGTCATCAGCTTCTCTTACTTACACATCTGCACTCGGTGGTTCTTTGTCTAGAAGCACCACTCCCGAACCTCAAATCGTGGCTAGGTTAACTAATCCTCGCATTCCTACCGCCGGAGGCAGGGTTAACTCTAATCCATCTGAACCATCCTACCTAGCAGCAAGCATGAGTCTATCAGTAGATGGTTTGACAAATCAAGAAAACGAGATTGATGACCAGAACACCCATATCAAACATCCATACTTGACCATCAAAGGTTTGTATCAATTTTAATGCCATGGTACATATATCTTCTCATCTTCTCATCTATCTTCTCATCTTTTAAATATCAATTTAAGCCTAATACTTTAAGTATCTAGATTATATATGCAGAGGAGCTGGAGGCGGAAACCTAGAATCACGCTGTAACGCCTAATTATGAGTCTTAGTGATAAATCAATGATGCGAGATAGTCATGCATACACCAGTGGATCTGAGTTTTAAATGATTCGGTAAAATGTAAATTAGACAAAAAGAATAAGGTGTTCGATTCACACTTCTCCAAATTCTTCTCTTTAATATCTATGTAAGTGAGTCACATGCCACTGTCTTAGAATCATGAATAAGGTGTTTGGCTGAAACTTTGGATGAGATGGTATCATAGTTACCTAATTCGCTCAGAAGGCCATGAATTGCGTACCAAATCGTTTCATACCCAATTGGGTATGAAAGTGTTCGGAACGTGACCTGGATCGCAAACCGATACGGTGTCGAGATAGTTCCCAATTGGAATCTGGAACAAGTTTGATTTGGTAATCTAATAGTTCCAAAACACAATTTCAGGTTCAATTTCTGAAATTGGTATTTCGATTTCTGATATTGGTACGCTGATTTTATGGAATGGCAGGAAGTTGCCGACTGTTTCCACATCGATTCTTAGACTCTTAATTCTTCTAATTCACTAAACAATCTTACACACTAATGTTCAATTTCTTATTCTAAGTACTATAATTTTGTGTATAATACTCAATTTGAAATTTAAAATGATTGTTTTTGTAGTCGATTTTTACAAAGTTTATACAGAGTCTATACATCCCAGACTAGCTATTCAAGTTCTTGTTCAGTGGGATTATTGGTCCTGAGCTTGCTATTCAAGTTCTTGTTCAGTTTGATAAGGTTTCTTAACTCTTCAGAGCTTCTTCTTATTCTTCTTCCTTTTTAACTATGTGTTAATTCAGTGTGAAGGTAGTATGTGTTTTGATGATTATTTAATCTGTGAGATATCATTATCACTTCATGTTTCATTGGTTGTGGTCAATGGCTGAAGCTCTGGACAATCAGGTTAAGACCAAGGTCTCTATTAAGGTAAATAATTTTCATCTCTTCAATTCTGGTGTGGAGAGAAAATGACCATTATACCCTTTACATTCCAGTTAACAAATTTCATAATATCATGAATTTGAACATGATATAAGTTACATAAGGTATAGAGTTAGTGTCTTGATATACATTCAGTCTTAGGCTTTAGTTTAAGCATGTAAGAGTTAAATGACGATTATACCCTTGGTGTATGGATGCCGATGACTTGGTTTATATAGTGAGGTGAGGTTTGTATACTCAGATCTAAAACACTAAAATCCATAAGCTTTTTCACAACTGGAAGCTATCCTACCCTAAGTTCTATTTAAACTTACACACACACACACACACATATATATATATACACACACACACACACACATATATATATATATATATGCATATTTAGTTATTCTATAAGCTGACGTGGCATATTTCAGGCGCTTTTGGCTAAACTATGTGAAGGAACAGCAGAAGTGAATGCAAACAATGGCACCATCAGTGGTGTTCTTGTAACTGTGGGATATCTTGCTAGAGTGGTAGGAGATTGTTACATTTTTTTTGTTCTCTTAAGTGTAAAATGTTTGATTTGTTGAGTCTTACTTGTATATGTGTAGGGTGCTTTTGTTATGAGATAATATATCTCTGAACTTATGCCAAGAACTGTTGAAGCTTTGTTGGATGGAGCTGTTGCTACTAAACGTGAGGTTTCTGTTGCAACTGTTGGTCAGGTTGTACAGAGTACAGGGCATGTATTCATCTTTACCAATATTACAAGTGACACTGCAATGTAGTTCTTTTGTTGGGCTTACTTTTAGTAGTGTGTTATGTCATCGGATTTTGCCATGGCTCAATTCCGTTTTCTGATCCCTATTTTGTTAGTCCCCGGACACTGGAATTACCAAAGAATGGGTTACATGATCCTCTACAATTTCTACATAAACGCAATTTTTGTCCTCATTTTATTCTGGTAACTTCTTCTCTTCATCTCCCTCCAATCAAAAAAGCAGTCTTTTTCTAATTTCTACAACTCTATACATGTATGTTTTATTTACTGCATTCACTCAATCAACCGCCATTATTCAATATCTACCTTACAGTTGATAAGTTAATGGATGTTTTTCACTCTTTTGTTTGATAGACACATTTAGATTCATCAATTGTTCGACATAAGGCTCATATAATGAAGCTAGAGTTGAGGACTTCATTGATGACTATATGGAACGACATCAGGTCATCATATACTTTTTTCCCTTTCACATTTTCTCAATAGTTTCTTTAAGGTTCTCTCCACTATGTGGAACGAAATACGGACTTCATTGATGATAAAAGAATCTTGGGTTTTCACTTTTCACAAAGCATCTAAAACCACCACAAACCATTTCATCTGCAGGAGGATTTTGATGAGTTTGAGGATGTTGATATGTTATACAACACCTTATCACTAGACAAAGTAGAAGCTCTAGAAGATCTTGTGATCATTGGTCCACCTGGCCTCGTTAAGGTAACAACATATCTGTTGTTCAAAACCCTACTTGCTGAATTTATATTCCATTCATCATCTAGAAACTAGTTCCAATTAGAAACCATGTCAACTTAGTCAAGTTAGTTTGCTTAATTTCCCTATGTAGAAGGAATTGATATGAAGAAAAAATTTCATGAAAATAGTGGTCATCATTTTTATTGTTTTGGCAGGGCGTTGGTACTACTGTTTATGTCTAATTTCAAATTTAGTATTGATCAAAAGGACTAAAGATCATAAATGGTATAGGCATGGTATTTTGTCAAACAGTTGATATGTATAATATTTTATCAGATATTGATCCATATGGGTCGTGTGGCAAACCATTACGTCCACCAATTTTGGAACAGGAAGACAAAAAACCATGCATTATTTAAGATGTAATGAGCATTTAGTTCTAAGTCTTTTTACAAGATATTTCATTATATGTTATCTAAAAGAAAAAAAACTACACTTCTAATGGTATCAGTAAAATTGTAACTGGAAATGGGGTAAAGTAAAACAGAAAACACCTGATACTGATAATAAGATTGAACTATTGTAAAGATGGCAGCAAGATACCTTACAATAGGTGAATGCTCACATTCAGTGACTGAAACAAAAAACAAACAATAAGCCAACCCATTAGCTTATAAAAATATTACCTTGTTAGAATAGTAGAAATCTGGTGACGTTTAAATATAACATAAGCAAAAAGGTTTTTCATATTTTTTTATCCATTGGACTGTAACTTGGTCTTAGAATTACCTTATGTATATCTTCTTGTTGTTCTTGCTGAATCTCCTTGCCAAAATCTTGCAACCTTATACATGAAGTAGACATCATCAATTTCACATCAGGGCTGAATGAGATTAGTGTTCCATGTATCAAAGTGTCAAACTTCTGTAAAAAATTACCTTATGTTGATTGTCTCCCTGCTCAACTTCTGATCCATTTTACATCAATTTTACCACTTCCTTTTTGTAAACAACATCAAATTGAAACAATAAACTTTTTGACTACCTATAAGCTTTTGATGACTGTAAACAAGAAATGAAAACTTAATTGGATCGTAGAATTCAACAATCTTTTTGATCACCTATAAATTTGCTTACAACAAAATTTAGGGAAAGTAGAAAAAAATGAAACAATGAATAAAAGAATCCAACAAAATTGTCACCACAAGATTTTATTTTTATGATTAAATAACCAAACTCACTTCCTATCTCTCTTTTTTTCTTTTAATCAGAAAAATAGCGATGGTCAAAAAATGTTAGCTTCTACTTTAATCCCTCAGCCTATGTCAATAACCAATGCCGGATTCAAAGAGGACATAAAAGTGTCCTTTGGAAGGTATTATATATATATATATATATATATATATATATATATATATATATATATATATATATATTCATTTCTTATAAAAAAATCCTCTCATATCATTCTTTATGAACTTTTGTTTTATGTTGCAGCATGTTATTGCATGGCCTTGCCATGAGTGAACATGAAGGTGGCCTTGAGGTATAATATAAATTGTAACATATGGTTTCATCTTTTAGCAGAATGATGTTGCAAGATGATGATAAGGTATTTCCCAACTCCCCTTTTGTCCCATTTTATAAATTCTTAATTTAGTAATTAAATCTTTCTTTTGTATTTTAGGTAATTTCTTGCTGTGTTCCTGGGATCCTTGAGGATACGAAGAAATGTTCTTTACAAGAATTCTTAGCATAATGAAAAACCACAAGGAGCTATGGCTGTTATGGTAAGGGTTTAGGTGTTTTGGTTTAAATTTAATGGTAAATACTTTTCAAGTTTTGTTAAAATTGTTTCTTTTGTTTTGCGTAGGTCAAACTGAATGTTTCTTTACTAAAAGATATTAGTGATGATATTGACTTCTGTTTCAAGCTAGCCAAATAGGAATCCATGATTCTTCTTCCAGGTGATTACAATCCTTTTGTAACATTTTGTTGAATTTTATAATAACCTAATAAATATCTTTCTTTTTGGGTGTTGTAGGACTTACTGTAGGTTTGAAAAACTGGATTCGTGTAACTTTTGTTGCAGTCCCATCTTCTCTTGAAAAAGCTCTTGATAGAGTGAAGTCTTTTTGCCAAAAGCATTCTCCTCAGCAAAAGGTTCATATTGATTTAGTATAACATAATTCAAGCAATACATATTTTTTTACTGCATAGTCAGTCAATGTAATTACTTTTGCTCACTTGATGTTATCCAATCATGGTTTATATTTGTTTTACCTTTCCATGGAACGATTATTTGTATAACATTAAATTTATGCAATGGATTCTATTTTTTGTATATGATATTTTATTTTCTATTATGAAACATTAAATACAAATTTAATGTGAAAATAAGTAAATCTATAAATAATATTTTTTTAAACATTTAAAACTATGATACGCACAAGTGTGTGTCATCTTCATTTATGATATGGCCTTTCTTGATATGCATTGCGTGTCATTAACACGCACGTTGTAAGGTTACGACACACGAATGCGTGTTGTCTTCCTTTATGATAGGGCCTTCCTTGATATTGCGTGTCATCAACGCACGTCGTAATTGCGCGTCGTAAATGAGCGTCGTCTATAGACGACGCCCAAAAGCATGTTGTCTCTCTTTATGACAGGGCCTTCCTTGACGCGCATTTGCGCGTCGTCTGAGCCTTTTACAACGCACAATAAGCGTCGTAAAAGGCTGTTTTTCTAGTAATTAACATTATTCTTAAGTTACTTCATCAAAACATGCTACATGCATATTTATAAAATATGGAAAAGTTTGGGGATTCATTTTCAATCCCAATAGAAGACGAGGTGATTGTTCCCGAGGAGTCAGGAAGAAGAGTTAGGCATAGGAGGGAACGGGCCCGAGAAGACCCACCGGTTATCCCGGTGGAAGACGAGAATGAGGGGTGGAATAACGTGGATTATAGGGGGTATTTGGATGATACTGGACGAGGTGTTAACTATAATAATGAGTCATTCACCAATCTCTTTCAACAAATGAACATCGCTTTGCGGCCCGTGCCCGCATGTCCATACATTATGAGTTGGGAGGAGCGTATGCAAAGGAGGAACAACCAAGCAAGTGGAAGTGGAGCAGGTGGAGAAGACATGGAAGAAGAAGCTTGAAATTTTTTTTTATTTGGATGTTTTTTTTATTTTTATTTCGTTTTTTTGGTGCTTGCACTTTGATGTACCCGAATATTAATTAGGACTTTGTTCGTTTTCTTTCACTTGTGGTTGCTTTGTTTTTCAGGTTTGAAGATTAGGGTGCATTTAGGAGTCTCATTGGTCAAGGCTAAAGTGAGGGATGGTGTAGATAAGAATGTGAAATGTTACATTTAAGGTTGAGTCCGTTAAGAATAACAGTGACAAAATACGTTATTATTGAATAAAATAAAAGAAGAGTCACTGAAGTGTCTTGTTTCAGCACTTCAGCCAAGGATAAACAACAGAAAAACTAATTTTTTGCCTCAGCTACTACTCGCCGAGTGCACTTACGGTACTCGCCGAGTTCATGTATAATTCCACAACTTTCTGCTGGGGGCCAGTCTACTCGCCGAGTTCACGTTTGACTCGCCGAGTCCCTTAATGCTTCACTCTCAAGATCTGTTTTGGGCACATTCATTGCAGCCTTCATCCATATTTTCATGAAGATTCATTCCTGGAAAATTTCTGAGATCTTTATCCTAAACAATTAGAGCTATTTAGACGTTTACCAAACGCGACATGATACTCAAGGCATGGATGAATTGTTTCCATGTCTAAAGAAATTTGATGTTGGAGTTTTACATGAAGAATATCAACCTCGTGACTACTATCCCAGGGGAGGTTCTTCCAATTCCCTCTTTAGTCTTATGTTTTTCTTTTTCATGCATAACATGCAATGGGGACATTACATAAATTAAGTGTGGGGTAGGGGGTTAGTTACATTTTAGTCACTTAGAATCCTAATCCTAATTTAGGCTTGATTTTTTTCAAAATCGTGCATAAAACATTGCTTAGGACTTAACCTAGAGAACTATGGTAAAAGTAAGTAGGATTCCATGTTAGAGTTATGTTGATGATTGCATGAAGACCCAAATGTTTAGTTGAACCTATATACGTTCTAGTGCATTTGTGGCTTCCTTATTCTAGTGAAATCATGAGACAAAAACACGACCTTGCTTAGTTTGAAGGATGCAATATGTTTAACATCGTGTACCATAAATGTATCCAGGAAATTTTTTTTTTAACCAATAAAGGTTGAAGTTGAGCGCCCCTGCTTAAGCATGTACGTTTTGAGTGAAAAAAAAAGTGAGTTACATGTGAAAAAAAAAAGAGAATTACAAGAAAAAGTTTGAAGAATTTTTGGAGTATCAAAGTCAAAGTATGAAGATCAAAGATAAAAAAATTCTGAAGAAATTCAAAAATTGAAGATACCCAAAAATCGAAGATCAAATTGTCAAAGAAGTGAAGATTCCAAAGAGCTCCATAGTGGTATCATAAATTGTAATTTTCTATATTATGTATGCTTGGGTTGCTCAACCAAAAATACCTTGAGGTTAGGAAGTTTTCTGCAGATGGATTCGGAGGGATGCATAAAATGAGCATTGTTCAGAATAAGTGGGGGAATGTTTATGAAGATTGTGAGTATTTAGAGTATGGGGGTTCCTTAGGAGAAATTTTAGACACAAATGCATGCGTTGTGGTCTTGGCATAATGATTGGGTTCAATTGGAATTATCTTATGTGATTTTAGTATGCTAAAATTCGGTTTTGCTTGGGGGCAAGAAAAAGTCAAGTGTGGAGTATTTTGATATGTGCATATTTAGCCATATGTTTAGTATACAATTTTATCAATTATTAGCTAATTATTTGCATAATATGGACAAAAGGTACTTAATAATGTCTAAATTATATTTTCAGTCCAAAAGACATGTTTGGGAGCAAAAAGAAAGAAAGAGAAGCAATCAGAAGCTGGAGAATGAAGAAAGAAGAACAAACCTGGAGCTACTCGGTGAGTCCCAATGAATGTTCGCGAAGTAATGTCCAGAATCCTTGCCGTACATGTATTTCTCAAAGGAACTCGGCGAGTTGGACACCTACTCGCCGAGTTGCCCCTGTTTTGATATAATTATAAATAGAGGATCTAATTCCGAATTGAGGAGTTTTTTGGCTTCCCTGGAGAATAACCTACGACTGAAGAAACCCTTGGAGACCTGAAGAACCCTAAACTTTGATCTTTAGAAGACTCAAGGCAAATTAGGTTAAATTTTCCACTTAATCTTAGAAGTGAATCATGTTTAGATCAACTAAATTCGTTTTTAGCTTCTCTTCAACTGTATTCATAAGCTGAATTTTCATAGTTTCCGTTTAGGAAAGACCAATTTACTCCTATGGTTTGATTCATACTTTGATTGATTGATTATTGGTGATTGGTGATTTTATTAAATTAAGTTTGTTAAAGACCCTTATGCATTAACCATAACTATTTTCTGTTAATTGGAAGACAATTAGGTTACATGAACATCTCTTAATTGTTAACATCATATGATTTATTTGAACACTTTATTATATGCCTAGGATTAGTGAACATGAAACTAGGATTAATTAGAGAATGGGTAAATTAATGTGTGATCTTGTTTGGTAAACCGACAAACAAGAGGTTAGTTGAATTACTAATTTGATTAACCAATTACAAATCTTATTTAATCCGAATAATTGAACTAGGGAGTTAATTAGTTTAAATAATTGATCACTGCTTGAATTGATTAATTTTCTAAGGGTTGGTAATAGCGAATGTGAATCTAATCACTATAGTCGGTAACCAATATCAATTAATCTATTACTTTATTATAAAATTAACCATAGGAGTGAATTGGTTGGACCTAAACAGAAACCATCATATTAAATTTGGTGAATTTTTACTTGTTTTAGTTGATTAGTTAATTACGTGTTAGGTGGTGTGTTTAAGTTTCTAGTCTTGTAAAGTAAGGAAAACCCTTTACTCTTATTACTTGTCTAGTTAAAATTAGTTATTAGTTTAATTTCCGTTCCCTGAGTTCGACACCCTACTTATTCAACTATACCACTAAAAGACAGGTTCATTGTCTTTGTGTACTAAATTTATATTTTTAGAGTAGGAATAAAACCAGTGCATTTTTCACACATCAATGGCACACACCATAGTTAGTCAGCCTGGGATGTTTACTCTGATAATAAGAACATGTTTTGAATCAATACTCTGAGTTTATGTTATGAATGACTTTATGGTTTCATAAATATGGTTTAGTAATGTTTTTAAAGGGAATTTTTGGTATGGATTTTTGGGTCGTTACAATTAGTGGGGTAGAGGCAGCACAAACACATTTAGTTAAGTTTATTAACCCATCAAATTCCTTCCAAAAGGAATCAAGTTTGTTATAGTAGTCTGAAACAGACAATCCACTTTGAGTTAGTGAGTTAATTTTTTTATGAATATTGAAAATAACAAATCCATCACATTTAAAATAAGTTTCATTCAATTCATTCAAAATTTCAATAGCCTTTTCAGAGCCAGCATGTCCTGCATAAATGGTCTCTGAAATAGATCCAAGTAACCAAGAACACACATCAACATTGGCTATTTCCCACTTAAGAGACTTAATGGGATCATTTTCAATTTTCTTAATAGTTGCATCAAGAAATCCAAGTTTATTTTTTGGCTTTTAAATCCCTAGTCATAGCACTTTTC